AGTTCAGTTAGTGGTTTTGCGAGATCCGCATAATGCTCTATGAACTGACATTTACAGTCAGAAAAATGAAGAACTCGTGAAAAGTATGCATAAATATATATCCATATATTTGTCATACAACAAGTGACACGTACCTCACGTGTCTCACTACGAACTGGTGGCCCGTACGGGGATCGAACCCGCGACCTTGGCGTTATCAGCACGATGTCATGAAAGTTATAATCTTTTCTGTATGTTGTGGCTGCAGCCAATGACCCATCCTGAGCTCTGTGAACTCGGCTGAACTGATAAGGTTATAAAAGCAAGCTGAGTAGGCATCTCGATGCAGATTCTCATGACTGGTCTCCATGTGTGTACATTTTATGTATAGTCATGTAATCTGTCCTATAAATCTGGCCTTGCAAGTAACATCCAGTTTAAAAATCTTCTCCTGCCGTTGAGTATGGTTCTTTTTGAGTAAACAACATAAGCGAGACGATTTTCCCCCAACATTCAGTTAGTTTGCATTTATTAAATCAGTTGGGTACATACATATAGTGAACGTGTTGCTGTAGTGTTTCAGTGCATAACATGCTAAAAATATATATATTTTTGGTTTGTATTGCTAATAACAGTTAGCATGCCCTTCTTGTTTTGCATAATGTGACTGACAAACATTTAGATCAGGTGTGCGATCGTTCCCAAAAGTCGTGTTTTAATGATTTTTGGTCTTTACAGTGTGTGAGCTCCAGATGGTAAAATCTTGATAGTACCTCATGTTATGGTGCACAATGTGAGATTTAATATGTCCAACTGTACGACTTATTGCCACAGCGGACTCCACATAGATTCAGCAGAGATTTAGTCCAACAATAAAAGGAAATTAAGCACCGAAGTTGATGTTCTAAATATATTTGGACACTAAAAAGAGAATGGTTGGTTGCAGCAGCAGTTGGTCACACTGCACAAGTTTCCCTAATCCAACATTTTTCAGTCAGGTCAACTGGACAGTTTCTTTTTTTGTGCTGAAACGTTTCGCCTTAGATCCGGAAGACTTCATCAGTCAAGGAAACACACAACAAAACTGATTCTTCCTCCAACAGCTTACTCCAAAGTGGAACAAACCAGTTCTGCTTGTGATAAGATGGTCTCTTTGGTACGCCCCTCCTCCATTGCCGGTCCTCTTCCTTGTTGACAGTCATGTCAAAATGGTTGAAAACTCACTAAATAATCTCACCTGGATTATTGAGCATGGACTTTGTTGTTTTCAACCAGTTTGTCAAGACTGTCAACAAGGAAGAGGACCGGCAATGGAGGAGGGGCGTACTAAAGAGACCATCTTATCACAAGCAGAACTGGTTTGTTCCACTTTGGAGTAAGCTGTTGGAGGAAGAATCAGTTTTGCTGTGTGTTTCCTTGACTGATGAAGCCTTCTGGATCGAAGGTGAAACGTTTCAGCACAAATAAAGAAACTGTCCAGATGACCTGACTGAAAAATGTTGGATTTTATACCTGGATTATTGAGCATGGACTTTGTAAGTTTCCCAAACATTTTTGACCCTGCTGGATGTTTGTCACAAATCTTCTTTCGGCATTAGAGTGATGAGTCAGTTTTCTGTGAACCTGTCACACAGACAACCCAAAATTTACTTATTTTTAAACAACAAAATATTTAATCTAAAATGCACATAATTTTGCAGTTTTAACTTGGCCCAAGACAGTTTGCCATTCATAAGACTCTTAAAAAACATTACTGTTGTGTGCTCTTTTAACAAATTTATGCTTTCAAAAGACTTCAAACAATTCTACCAGTTTGGTGAAAACATTAACATTCGTACCATGCATGCTAACAAAAATACAAATCTTAAAATCTCAGTTTAAATATGTTAATTTTAGGTTAAACGTTTTGTTCAATGTTTTTATTATAACAGGGAATTTGTTTCAGCTCTAAGTTGTAAACTCGAATATTCTAGATGCCTCGTTTTAAAAAAAAAAGCTGAAAACAATTTTCCAGGAAATCAATGTGCAAGCAGGTATTTTGCTCACAACACAGAGTCTAAGTCGTCAAACTTTAATTACTCTCAACCTTTTGTTTCTAACAGAGTCAATATTCAGCCCACTGGCAAAACTAATCCAACGCTGAATGTCAGGTGAAGTAGAATCTTCTGGTGTCGTGGTAAGAATCAAAAGCGAGGTCAGTCCATTACAGCACTGATCTGATTCAGAGCATCACCATGATGATGGCCTGTGATCGCCATGGCAACAGAGGTAAAGCAGTGAACTTAAAAAACCAGGACAAAGTAGCCATTTGTATGTTAATGGGCCCAGCAGAATGTTTCAACTGGCCTTGCTGAACCATTAGCGAAGCTAATTAGGTTTATTTATCATGCCTGCCCAACAATAACAAGCAATGTGTTGTTACGGGACAAAGGCTAAGAGCACCGTCATCATCTGTAATCAAGGAGTCACAATCATGTGTTTTTTGTTTTTCTGGAAAAAATTGGAACTGATAGAAGTTCCTTGAAAGGTAAAAAAATCAAACAGAAAAGACTGAATCATCATCAGAGAAGCGTCCGCTCTCTAACACAGGGGTTCTCAAACTTTTTGGGTTCAGGGACCTACAGGGGAGAAAAAGTTTCAGGGTTTTCTTCAGTTTGACTCTTTAATGTAATGGGAATATTTGTGCAACATAAATACTTAATACCTGTTCTTTAATAGTGTTAATACAATTGTTATACTTTTAAACATGGGCTATTTTCATTTAAGACAAACTTAATTAACAACATTTTTAATTTCAACTTCCAAAAATTACAATGTTTGGAAAATTAACAGTATCAAAAACCATTTTAAAACGTTGCCTATTCACTTAATGAACGTGATAAATGTATCGCCGCTTCTTCAAATTATTACAGAAATAATAATAAAGTAATTGTGATTTTCTGAATTTTGGTGTATTTTAATGGGTTGTTAAACATGTACATGCTTGTAAATATATAGTATATAAATACATTTACTTTTTTTCTTCTTCTGTGGACCCCCAAGCGCCAGCTTGCGGACCTCCGGGGATCCATGAACCTCATTTTGAGATCCACTGCTCTAGCAAACCTGTTTAGTATTTACAATCTACAGCCAAACTTCCCTGAATGGCTCCCATGAGCAGTTCCTTTGAGTAAGAATCATTTAGAAGAATAAAAAAAACAAACAAACAGAGCAATTATCTGCTTTAAATTAAAAAGATTGAATAAACTAACTTTGCACATTAAAAAATAATTTTTCATTACTAACCAAACAAGCATAGTTGTTTTCCTTGACTGTACTGGAAGCCACACAAAGTGTCTTGGACTCTACAAGCCCACACAGTGAACCTAATAATTACTGTGATTTACTGACTGTGTGCACGAAGCAGTGGTCGCTGTCTTCCTGCGCGTACAGCACGCCGTCCTTGATGAAGACTGAGATGGCTCTCAGGATGAAGGACACGAACAGATTCATGTGGATGAAGTTCCTGGTGCAGTGGAGCTTCCTGGAGATAAATGAGACGAGAATAAATGACATATTTCTTCTTTACTGGCTCAAAGAATATGAGCAGTTCAAACTTTAACCCTGACTTTTCTACCTTGGATCAATTTTGTATTGTTGAGCCTCAGCTTCAATGTGTATTTAACTGACCTGTCAAAACCGTGCTGTGCTTTTAACCAACAAAACTAGTGAGAAATACTATCGAAAACTAATTAAAGCTGGTCTATTTATAGCAGTCTGCAGAGACAATAGTGTCATGATTAAACTTTTGATAAATAGTTGAAACATTGCACTGTTTGGCTTTCTGAGACATTTATTGATTTTTCAGCAAAATGAATGAAACAAAACTCCCCCCAAAAATAATTTCATGTTCTTAAAAAAAAAAAAAAAAAAGAAATATGTAAAAATTCATAGCTGAAGTTTGCAGTCATTTGTAAATAAGGTCACACTGGCATACTTACTCCATTAATGGTCTCTGTAAGCCATCACTATCTGAAATATTACATTAGAAGTTCGTACCCCACAAAAACAAAACAAAAAAAAGTATTCTCTGGAAATATTGATCTCAGTGTTTCAATTAATGTTTTGTCACCCCTTTATCGATCAAATCTTCCCTCCGTGTGTGAAGGTTTACTGTAACTATAAAACAACTGAACTTTTTCTATCCTGCCTCATTTTACAACTGACAGAAGAGTTTTACAATTTCAGGTCTAAAACAACCTGCCATAATTTTCGCTGTATAAGTTGCAGTTTTTTGCACAAATTAGCATGCCTGGTACTTATACATTGAAGTGATATTTATGATTCTCCCTCATATTTATAACCAATTTTTGGCTGAGATCTGACGATTTCATTCATTCTGACATGGAAAATATTGAACGCTACCATTTTCAGCCACTAGAGGGCCCTCGACTAATATAGCAAGCCTCATTAATAGGTAAAAGTGGCTATTAACGAGACACTTGGCTTGCCGTACAAAGCCACCTTCGTCTCGCTCTGGAACTCCTGGAGCAAACGTCAAATCAGCTGCATTTTGCCGCGCCGCCCAGATGAAATGCAGCCGATTTGACCATTAAAGTGCATTTATTAAGGAAAAGTTCAACTGAGACACATCTTTGCTATAATGTCGAGCAAACAAATAATTATTTTTAAGTGTTAATCTTGTTAAATTCTTGTAAAAGTCCTCCTGTGCCACCATTTGACAGTCAATAGATTTTTTTGGCACAACACCGGCCCACATTTCCGGGTTATGTCAGCGGTGACACAAAATAGATGTGACTTATAGAGCGAAGCAACGTATTTCTCCACTTTATTAGACATATTTGGACTGATGCGACTCATACGGCGGTGCGATGTGTACGGCGGCAAGTACGGTAATTGTTGATTTCGTCACTGCTTTAGCTTGTTAATGAGAAGTCACCAAATGATGCTTATGTGTAGTTGGTGGTTAAATCTTAGCCATAGCAGGGGTCTGGCCGACAGTAATGGTTAACGCTGTTCATCTCTAAGCAGGGCACTGAGGTCATCGACTCTTTTTGGAGAGATGTGACGTATTTTTAAAACGATTTCCACCTCACAGGTGCTCAGACGCATGAAAATTGTAGCTCCTTGATTAAAACACACATCAATGAGTCGGCTTTTAATCCAAGAAGATGTCAACATCATGTGTCTGTGTGCGTGTGTAGACATACTGTACGTTCACTCTATATGATATTTTTAGTTATTTGTACTAATTTCACATCATTTTTATTCTTGTTTGTACTTTTTGTGATAATAACTGTTTAATTTAATCGGCTTTAGCTGTAGTTTATGTTCAGCACTTCATGACAGCAAATTGGTGTTTGTAAATGTGGCCAAAAAAAAAAACATAAAAACTTTGATCTTTACTTGCATTCCTCATGTTTGTGGGAAATTTAACCTATTGATCTAATACAAATTCAAGAACTGTCATGAAGCTGAGACCAGCCTGTGGTTGATCCATGTAGATTGGTAAAATGTTTTATTAGTATAAGGTAATTTTATTCTCAAACAAGCTTTTCTTTCTCGTGATCATTAAATGATGGTGAGCTCTAGTGGCTCTTGTGTTGCTTCCACTTTCAGAGTTCACTATCACTGTTACGCCACGTAGGGATGATCATGTTGTGCACGTGTAACTCGGCTCGATGCATGCCTTGAATTCGGACAAAAAATTAATCCTTTAATGTACGTTTAAAACAATTTTTGTAAGCACAAGAACATCTACTTTTCTAGGTCAAAGTATTTAAACATATGAACCCATTTTCTCCAAAAAGATAAGCTTTTTTTAATCTCATGATGCTGATATAATTAAACTGTTATTGCTACAAAGCCAGCTTTGTTATCTTGAGATGATGAGATGAAACGCTCTATCTTGACATAATTTAATAAAAATGGATTTTAAAACCTCCCTCTTCTGGTTTCTGCATTGATTTTGCTCGGTCGAAAACTAAGAATTAAAACACTTTTTTTCTTTTGCTTTATTTATCTATTTTTGGCTTTGACAAAACATGCAAAACTATTTTGTTCAAAGCAAATATGTTATTAATTTCTATAAATCCAGCTGAGATCAAATATACATTTTCCAACAGAGCCAGAGCCCAGAATTTCATATTAATGTTAGCAGCCACCCTCATTTTCTCTGTTGCTGTGTGCAAAATCTGTGCTCAGCAAATATACCGTAATTTACGGACTATTGAGCGCACCCGAATATAACCCTACAA